TACCGCCTGGCTTTGTCCACACATGGGAAAGAGCATGTACTCTGGTGTCTCTCTGGACAGGGGCCCTTAACCACACCAGACCAGGGCCCACACCTCATCGCCTCATGTAAACTGAGTCACCTCCCATTGCGGGGTTAGGGCTTCTGCATGGGAATTTGGGAGATGCACACATTCAATTCCATAGTACTGTGCACGCAACGAACCCTTCCAACCTCTTAACTCACACTTGGTTCACGGGTCTCAGGTTGGCTGGGCTCAGCAGGTGGCTCTTGTTGGGGGTCTTCCATACAGTGGCCATCAGATAGTAACTGTGGCCAGATCACCTCAAAGGCCCTTTCATTTAATACCTGGCATCTAACTGGAAAGACCTACACCTGGGCTCCTTGGGCCTCTCTAAATGAACTCTCCATGTGGTGGCCTCAGGGTCACCAAACTTCTTACACTGCCACTGAAGGCTATTAGGACAAACACCCAGAAAGGAACCAGCAGAAGGTGTATCACTGTTTGAAAGCAAGAGAGAGGCTTTGACCAGAACCCCCACACTGGCACACCTTGATTTCAGACAACCAGCCTCTAGGACTCTGAGCAATAAATGTTTGTTGTTTATAAGCCACTAGTCTGTGGTATCATAATAATAAAAGGCTAAGAAGCATCACGACTGAAACAACCAAATAACCGTTGACCATGAGGTGTATGGAGCACCTCTCTGGCCCTCCTTCCATTCCCCCATATTTCCCTTGTGTGTCATCAGCATCGGTGGAGCTTGAGAGGCATTTCGGGGCTGCAGATATGGCCCTCATGGCAGGCTAGGCTTAGGGGCCTCTACATGTGCATGATTGAACCATGCGCCTGGCCTCTAGTTGGTTATAATAGCCTGGATGGACTAAGACAGGGTTCTCCAGAGAAACAACCAACAGAGAGGGCAATTGGCTCACGTGATTTTGGGAAGCGGGTAACTGCAGCTTGGAGCCCCTTTCTCAGCCATGTCCTCATCGTGGGGCACAGTGGGCAGTGTTTTTCCTCCTTCCTTCACAGCTAGGGGCAGTGTCTGGCAAGGTGAAATCCCTGGGGAATCTGGGAGAGGTGCTTAAGAGGATAAGAGAGACCAGGGACAGCACTAGTTTGTCCTCTAGCCCTTTTCTGTCTGACTGCTTAGAATGTTGGCTCCACCACCATTTTGTGCCATGTAGTTGCCAGGAGACTGGAAACCAAGCACCAAGAATTGGCAGTGATGGAGAGGACAGAGGCTGGGAAACCCGAACACTGAGTGTCTGCTGATGTCTTTCCTTGGTGTAACGGGCAACACATTGCATATTTTGCTTAACCGCTGCTATTTCCAGCCACACCTCTTGCATTAAACACAATATGAGGCATGTCAACAAGTGATCAGGCAGGACTATGTTCATGCAGAATCCATATATATAGCGTATATTCTGCACAGAAAATGATACAAAATTAAGCTTAATAACTATTGCCGTGAATGGATAAATAAATGAAGACTCAGAGTATGACTGACTTGCCAGAGAAGACTCCTTTACTCTAGACCCAACGATATGTTAGATAATTAAACTGATAGAAGTTATAAGTGAAAAACTATGGTTTCATTTTAGAATAGCTGATTATACCGTTATTAGCACTAAAGGAATAATTACACCTTTAAACAGAAATCTGAGGAGAAAGCCTCATTCTGAAGATGAAGTGCTAGAATTTCTGCACAGTAATTCATGCTGTTTCGTATAATGGCATCATTATGTAAGGAAAAACATGCTTCACTTTCTGAGGAAAAGACAATGAATCTTTCATGGTGTGGTCAGAGGAGGAAATCTGTCTGTACCCCACACATGGGAGTTGCTTGGCTGGGCCCTTGAGGCTCACGAGGACTAGCTTACTGACAGCTTTGTTCTGCATATCGACACAGCCAGTCAATTTCTCATGCAATGCAAAATAGCTCTTTGTTCTGTAGATTACTCGTTTTTTTTTTTCATGCTTTTTAAACAGAAAAATGACAAGTAGGAACTTGAAGAAAAAAAACAACAACTGGCCTCTAATTGGGAATTTCAACAACTAATTACAAAATAGAACAAAATCCTTTATAAATCCAAAAAGGAAAAATAAAAAACTCATATAGGTGAGAAAAATGCCCTAAGTAAAAAGTGATGCCTACAATATCTTACATTAGCTTGTTGAAGAAATCAGGGCAGAGTGGCCTGAGGAAAGAAAGAGGATGCCCTATGGTTGCTAGAATGAGACATCGCTCAGATGTGTTCCAGGTTTAGGCTAGTGGTACAAATGGGGACAGGAATGGAGTCATAGGGACTCACCTAAAGAGTCACAGGACATGACTGAATGGGAATTTTGAGAGCGGATGATCCTGTCTGCTTCTGGGGAGAGAAATTGAGAAATTGGATCTGGGGTTCAGGAGTAAGACTTCCACTGCATTTTGAACAAAATGAACATATTATTAACAAAAGTTTAAATTGATATTTTCAAAAATATTCTGTACCACTTGTAGCAGTTTGTATTGTACCTCTCCCCCCACCCCCCCAGCAATTTTCATCTCAGAATATGACCCGATTTGGAAATAGGGCCTTTGCAGATATTGTTAAGAATCTTGAGATGAGATGGCCTGGGTTAGTGGGGAGAATACTTTTCTGTTGCTTTTTTTCTTTTCTTTTAAATATATTTTATTGATTTTTCACAGAGAGGAAGAGAGGGATAGAGAGTTAGAAACATCAATGAGAGAAAAATATCGGATCAGCTGCTTCTTGCACTCCCCCACCCCCACTGTGGACGTGCCCACAACCAAGGTACATGCCCTTGACCGGAATCGAACCCAGAACCTTTCAGTCCGCAGGCTGACGCTCTATCCACTGAGCCAAACCGGTTTTGGCCCTTTCTGTTGCTTTAAGCCATAAATCTGATAATTTGTTACAGCAGCCACAGGAAAATAATACACCACATTTTTTCTTTCCTAAATGATCTTCCTAAAAGAAATCCACTTGAAATACATCAATGAGTTAATTTCTTCCTTGCTTTCCATCTTAAGTTTGTACCCAACCAGTAAATATTTTAAATTTCTCAGGCCACTGGGTCTTGTTGCAACTATTCACCTATTACCTGGATGCTGTGGAGGTACAATCTATACATATAAAAGCCCAAGTGACCATTCGACCCTTTGACCAGTAGCTATGATGTGCACTAACCACTAGGGGTCAGATGTTTCAACTGGTAGGGTAGCTTGCTGCTGGGGTCTAGCTGATTGGGGACTGGGCAATAAGGGCTGGATACACCCTGGAGCCCTCCCTTAGTCCCTCTCCAGCCCTGATGGTGCATCGGTGAGGTTCCTGGACCTGGTCTGCACCCTCTCGCAAACCAGGACCCCTCAGGGGATGTCAGAGAGCCAGTTTCGGCCCAATCCCCCACAGTCCAGGCTGAGGGACCCCACCAGTGCACAAATCCATGCACCAGGCCTCTAGTACATTAATAAATGAGATGGTTGTTTTCCAAAAATACTTTATTTAAAAAAAATGGGTGAAGGCTGGATTTGGCCTATGGAATGTAATTTGCTGACTCCTGATCTAAACAACTTTTTTTGGTGAGCTGCAATTGTGGGGCTATAAATGCTGGTCCATCCATTATTGGGAAGTAGATGAATTGTAAGGCAGCTTGGTCAGCACACATGCTATGACCTTTAATCAAACAGAGATTCGTAATCCCAGTAGAGAGTGATTTAGAAATTTATCAATGCTGTTAGAACTCCAGGTTGCTAGCAATAATCACAGGTTCATGTGGATATGGGTCGCATTGCTTCACTACATCCAGGACTGCCTGTCCCTCAATATTCAATATATTCATTTACATGGACATATATATCAATACTGTGTGTCCTGCAGAGCTGGATGCTCACAAAGCAAGTATACCTCATTCACCTGTCAAGGAGAAAATAAAAAAAGGTGTGTGGTATACTTATGTGTATATATGTGTGTGCGCATGTGCATACATATATGGAACAGCTAAAGATCTACGCAAGTCCAGCATCTAACTTCACTATCCATGCTCTAGTGCCAGAGGCATTTGGGTCTGTTAGATGGGATGCCAACCATCTCTTCAGAACTAAGTTCTGGGCTTGGCCTTGCAGGATGAGCTGGTTCTAAATAGCTAGAGAGGCTACCTACGTACAAGTTGTAATCATTTGAGTCTACATTCCCTTGCTGAATGCCTATTGCATACCAGCCCTGTGGCAGACTAAGAGCAAGAGTATGACTGAGAAATAGGTCCTCAGAACCCTGCAGGGAGACTTCAATAGAAGCTTCTTGACCAAGGCCCAACACTGAGTAGTGAGCAGAGCCAAGACCCTAACCAGGACATGCAGCTGCCTGCTTTCTGCTCCTGGGTCAGCAGGAGGCACAGCACCCACCCACTTGCCATGCTGCTATAACCACCTCTGAGCGCTCCCGTCTTCACACTATAGGAGAGACCTTTTTCTTGCACAGTGGGTATGTAATACGTACATACATGCACATATTACATATGCACACACATCTCAGACCAAGAGTGACAAACATTTGATATCCCAAATCCCTTATACACACACACACACACACACACACAATTACAATTAATTACCCTTCACTTAAAGACTGTTATCAAGGCCTTTCTTCCTCATCCTGAAGACGGGGTAGCAGCGGTATGGCAGAAGGCAGACAGGGTCAATCTGAGACTGAATCTAGTTTTCTCAAGAACTTGCATTCTGATGTTGGGGACAAACTGGCCTTTTCTTGGCTTCATCTTCTGTCCTGCTAGCATGCAAGGAAGATAAAAGGATTCGCTTCCCAGCTGGGGCTCTGGCTGGACTAGATGTGGATAAAGAGTGAGAGGCCTGGAAAGTAGAGTCAACAAAACCGGCAGGTCAGCAATCTCAGAAAACAATGTTTACATTTTATTTTTCTTTGATAAGGTCAGTCAAGGAAATGGCACAATCCTGCATGTTATTTTTACATTCAAAGGGTCTTCAACTGTCTCTGCTTATGCCTTGGGTGTGTTTTGCAGTAGATGTACCATCGCCCTCGCCTCTTCACCAGGTAACAGTCCTTGCAACGCTTCTTGAGGACGGCCTTGGTCTTGAACCCCAGGGTCGGCTGCAGGAAGGGCAGAGGGTGGCAGGAGAGAGGAGAGGCCACAGCTGCGCTGGGCTTTGCACCTGCAGGGACTGCAACACGCAGGGGACCAGCCAGCAGCGTGGAGAGCGCTCTGGATGTCGTTGTGTAATTTGTCATTGTGTAACGACTCAGATGAAGGAGAGGGTTCACAGCAGAAACCACCATTTTCCTTATAAAAAGACTTGCCATATTGTGGCTGAATCTAGGCGAGAAAGAAAAAAAAAAAAAAAAGTTGTTACAGCGTCTTCCGCACTTCCTACTATTATAACTTTGTTTTCCGCACTTCACTGTGGCGTAGGCGTGGAGGCGCCACCACCCCCTGGTGCAGCGCAAACCCTGCCGGCCCAGCTGGGCGGGGGATTGGGTGGGAAGGGGGTGATTTGGAAAGACCGCCCTTTGTGGGAGCCTAGGCATGGCTGCGAGGATCCTAAGCCCAGACCCTGTTCAGGCAGCATGGGGAAGAGCTGGCCTGGTGTTTGGGACAGGAGGCGGCCGGCACCCGGCACCCGGCCGGCGCCCGACCTACGGACCCCAAGGACCGCCGGCGGGCCGCTTCGCCGGCGCACACTGGGCGGGGCCTCCTAGCGGAGGCGCACTAGCTGGCGCCCGGGCCTCGACCCCAACACCGGCAGGGGACGCTCGGGGCCCGCCCACCGCTCCGAGGTTCGGGATCCGGTCCCAACCTGCCCCTCCCCCACCCCTTCTCTGGCCGCGGCCCACAGGGGGAAACTGAGGCTGAGTATCTGGCTCGAGCCCTTCCGCAGTCCCGACCCGGCAGGCGGCTCCGGGGCAGATCCTAACCCCGGCAATTGCTGACCCGCCGCCTCCCTAGCCCCCAGCCCCTCTGGATTCCTAGGGACCCCTGACCTGGGAAGAACCGGCCCAGAAGTGGCCAGGAGCGTGCCTTTGCCCCGCGCCTGCGTCCCCGCCAGCGCCGGCACAGTGGGGCGGAGACTCCACCGCCGAGAGTCTGCGCGCATGCGTCAACGCTGGTGCGTCGACCGACGCGCCGGGTCAAGGGTCAGCCTGCAAGATGGCGGCGGCTGTGACCTTCTGTAGGCAACTCGGCCGGAGCGGCATCGCCGCGCTTAGTCTGCCCCGAAGCGTCAGGTGTTTCGGGGTGCGCATCGCACCGACCGGAGAGAAGGTCACGCACACCGGCCAGGTAACCGGTGCGTCGAGGAACCCCGGTCGTTCCGCTGTTCTCAGTGCTTTATGTCCTCCGTGTCCCCCGGTCCCTGGTCCCTGGGAAGGATCGCGGAGAACAGGCGGCTGAGTACTGAGTACCGTGCGGTCCCCGGTGCGACCGAAGCTCAGTGGAGCTGTGCTTTTGTCGCCCGCACCAACCGGCGTGGATACAAACGGGTGCCGCGGTGCCGGGGTTGGTGGAGCGTTTGCAAATTCTGTGGGAGTGTCCTTGAGCTTGAAGATGAAGCCGGTACCCAGCTGCGCCCTGATCTCTGTGGGCGGCTTCCCGGTGGACTGAAAACGCCAATTGATTGATTCTGTGGCTCGAATCTCGTATTGTTTGTGTGATATTAAATAGTGCATTTAAATAACTTGAGAGTCTGCTGTAGTCAAAAACACAAACGTAGTCTTAGACTATAATCGTAAGACGAGAGAGTAAGTATCCATATTACTAAAGTGTTACCAGGAGATTTAGAGGGGACATAAATCATTGCCCCATGTGAAGGAGGGGGGGTGCACCTCCTCTGCCTGAATTTGCCTCCTCGGCTCTCTCCATCTTGCAGCCTTCCAGTTCCGTTTACTGTTCACTGTCATCTTAGGGGTCTTGATGAAAAATGTCCCTGGTTGCACAACTCTACCTTGCCCCTTATGTGTTTGGCCATGAATGGTGTAAATGTTGAGAAAAATACTGTTCTGTAATGGATATTAACTGACCTCTTTCAGAATTAGGCTGTAAAAATTACATGTGGTCTTTTCCCCCCCCAGGTTTATGATGATCAAGATTATAGGAAAATTCGATTTATAGGTCGTCAGAAAGAGGTAAGTGAAAAAACAAACAAACAAACAAACAAAAAAAACCCCAACCAAAAACAAAACTACTAAAAGAGAAGTAAGCTCTCATAAAACCTTTATGTAACTGACAATATATAAAAATCAATATGTAAGATTTAAACAATTTCCCCCTAATTTGAGACATCCCAGAAGCTCTGGAATTCTGCATTTTTCTAAATGTTAAATGTTTCTGCTGTTTGTTTTGTTTCCCTTGGCGCAGGCCCCCCCCCCCCCCCCCCACACACACACATTATGTAACAACACGTAGTATAGTGTTTTTTTTATATATAAATGGGAGTGTTCTTTTTCTTTATTTATGTGCCTTATACATCTGAGACCCTCAGATTAAAGTTTTGTCCTTCATAATCACTTTGAGTCAGTCACTCTTTCCCCTCAGTCAGCCTGTTGATTCTTCTTGTTAAGCCTCAGCTTTCCCTAAATTGTGTTTCTCCTTTCCTTTAATCTTGATTACATTGTCCATTTCCAAAGTCTGCTTTTCTCTTCCATCCTGCTTTGCTAGTGTCATAAGGACAGGGGCAGTGTGGTGGAGATGGAGTTCAGAGCACTGGACGGTGCACTTCAGAGCAAATCAGTCCTGGAGTCGACCCTGCAGCCTGGCCCCAGCTCCCTATCGCATGCCTTCTGATGCTCTAGCAGGCACCTGGTTCTGCCACAGGCTTCTCTCTGCTGGGATTTCTCTTGTGGCCCTCGTTTCTGATTGCCATAGCAAAGGGCAACAGGGAACAATTTAAAAACAAAGCTAAACAAAATCAGAGCTTTTGAAGGCAATAACGTGCTGCCAGTGTTGCCTAATCCTGTACTGCTATCCAGCTCAGGGCCTCTGGGGCCTTTTCCTGTTTGGGATCAGGTTGTGAAGGTGCACGGCACGTCAATGAAAGATGAGTTGGCATTCTGCTGTGGCTTTTGCTCTTACTACAAAAATTTGGTATTTAGTAATATTTCAAAATTATTTTGTTTTCTAAGAGACATTATTGTTTTAGAAGACTGTAGGTATACTGGGAAATTGTACAGAATTTCCATATGCCCCATCTTCTCACACAGTAAGTTCCCTTGTGCTACATTTTTTACAAGTGAGTGATTTAAACAGTGGATGAATATTGATATATTAGTATCAACCCAAGCCCATAGTTTACATTAGGGTTTATTCTTTGCTGTACATTCTGTGGGTCTTGACAAATGTGTAATCTCCTTTATCCACCATTACAGTATCTCACAGAATGGTGGATAAGCTTTCTGTGTTCCACTTTCCTATCTGCTTTTGAGTATTTTCTTCAAACTTACTTAGTTTAAAAGTTAATTTGGATGAAAGTTTCAGTTTTTACTGTGTATATGCGTGTGTGCACACGTATGTTTAACTAATTATAATTACTCATGTTAGTGTTAAAAACACCTGATATTCTAGCCCTAACTGGTTTGGCTCAGTGGATAGAGTGTCGGCCTCCTGATTCAAGGGTTCCAGGTTTGATTCTGGTCGAGGGCATATATCTTGGTTGCGGGCACATCCCCAGTAGAAAGTGTGCAGGAGGCAGCTGATTGATGTTTCTATCTGTAAAAAATCAATAAAATGTATTTTATAAAAAACAACAACAAAAAAACACACCTAAATAATTGAACTGGGGCTTTAGTTTATTTTAAACTTGCAAGTTTCCATTAATTAGGTCAAAATTTTACAAAACATTGATTATTCAACTGGTTTCCTTTTTGTACTAGTTTTGATATTATATTGCAGACTTATATGTATATTTTATCTTTAATGGATTTAATATCAGTTTGACATAAGAGAGTAAACTTTCCATAGGACCTGTCATTGAGCCTAACCAGTGGTCAAGGACAATAGGGGGGTGGGGGATTGGAATGGGGGTTGAGGACAAATATGTGATACCTTAATCAATAAGGAAATTTAAAAAAAAGAAAAAAAAAATAGAACAGTTTACTGACAAATTAATGATTTAAACCTAAATATTTTTAGGCCCAGATGAGTTGGTCAAGAGGTAACTATAAAGATATATATATATATATATATATATATATATATATATATATATATATATATATATGTATTTTTTAATGACCTCTTAGTGACCTAGAAGACTAATTTTTACAGTGGTTGTCAACTTAAGGTCTCTGACACACCATGTACTTGGGGAAACACTACATTTACAGCCAAGTGTGTGGGATGCTGTGACATGTTTTCTGTACTGATCTCATGAGGTCCAGTAATGCTTACTTTCCTTGTCCCTTCGAGGCATGCTGCAGCCCTGAAATTTAATGGAATTGGAAGCTGGGCTGTGGTTGGGTGCTGTGACTGGGCGTTGACTCCTGGGCTCTTTGTTTTCCTGCGCTTGAGCTGAGTCCCAGGATGTTAATCATGGGAGTCAGGGTCGCCCTGGAGCTGCAGTCCTGAATGACAGGGGCAGTCCCGTGTCAGTCTCAGACGTCAGGCATCAGTTGCCCTTCCCACAGGAGACAGCCTGTTTCTTGGGGTGCATGATGGCAGTTTGTTAGTGTGGCCTTTGTGACACATTTGTCACTGAGGTAGACACCGCATTATTTACACCCTGAGGCTTCATTTGTATGGCGCGTGGCTTGTGTGGGCCATCATTCACCATGTAGACTGCTGTAAGGTATGGCATAAGGGAGCAGGAGTCCTTGCGGAGGCATTGCGCTTAAAGGAGCTTGTAAAACATCGTGGCGGCAGCTCTGCACACTTGTGGTGTTTGTTTTAACATCTGCACATTTTCTGGTAACTTCCTGCCGTGTTTTTGAAAATAGAATTTTAAGGAAAAGCTTTACAAAATCATACTCTATCACTGACAAAGCTTTTGAAGAATAATTAAACCTTTCCAAAATGTTGTCCACATTGTGTGGGTTCAGGGCATTGGAGTTCTGGTGGGTGTTTGGTGTCATCTGTGTTGGTGGCAGGCAGGGCCTTCTCTGTGTGTGAGTGCCCTGTCGCTGCACTGAGTGTCCTCTGGACAGTTGGCTGGCTTTGGAAAAGTTAACTGAGCTTGACGTGTTCTTCTTATTTTAAAGTTTTATTAAACTTATATCCCCCCCCCCCACTCCCTTATTTGTAAGGTTTTATCTACACCTTGTCTCTGTGTTCTTGTCTTCTCTAGAGCAGTGGGCCTCTGGTGTAGGTGAGATTCTGGAAGCCTCATGGCCCTGAGAGCCAGGACTGACCTGGCCCAGCAGTCCTCACCCATAACGATAAACAAGTACCGAGATTATTCCCAAACCCAAATCACAGGATAACCTTGGCCAACACTTATTAATCTTATTTTTAGCCTCACACTGGCCCATCTTGTCTCCATTAAGCATCTCTTCCTGTAAACTTGTGACGGCTTTTGGGATACCTGAGGGAGGAAGAATGGTGTTGCCCCTCTGATTGTCCTCTGTGTGGTGTGTTCCAGTTGAGAGATCCTCTGCCTCCAGAGGAGGGTGACTTTCAAGATGTGGTCTTGCTGTTGTCATCCACCTTGGGTTGGGTAAAGATGTGGAAGAGATGCTGGGTTTAAGAGGCGCCATCAGGCAAGCTAATCCTTGGGAGCCGAGTGTTGGACACAGAGGGCAACTGTAATTGCTGTAGATGGCCATAGAAAGGAGGAAGCTTGGAGAAGGCACTGCTGGCTTTCTTCACAGGATTTGCAGTGCTTGGAATAAAGGAGCCACAGCCTTTTTGTGGGCTGGTGACTAGGGGGCATGCATAGTGGGTCTCTTTGGCCCATGGGGCACCGTGAGGGCCCGGGTTCCTGTCTTTCCCTTTACATGCAGACACCGATGCTTTGCTTCTACAGTTTCCCCAGTGTCATGTGCTTTGTCTCCTGTGGTCACCAAGGACAGCTCTGATTGAGGCAAGAACAACCAAAACATGTATTCTGTCTAGTGCCCACTTTTGCCACAGTAGGGCAATGTCGGATAAATGATTTGCCCAGCCAGGATGTTGGAATTGATGTTGTGACTATGCACTGAGGGACTAGTTCAGTGATCCCCTCCTCCTTGTGCCTGGTCACTCAGTTTCCACAGGTGCCACAGGATGTTTACCAAGACATCACGCCTGTTCCTGCTGTGTTCACAGCAGCCTGCACCCCACCGTCTGTATCTTGCCATCAGATCTAAAATTGATCATGCACACCTCCAGGAGGTGTTGTCAATGACAGCATCATCTCACCTGACTACAGAGGTTCCTTTCAATTCAGTATCTAGGTGGCCTAAATATTCTAGACTGTGTCGTATTTTTAAAAATTTCACAGCTTGTTTTATTCAGAATTCAAATGAGTCCCATGCGCTGTGGTTTCTTTGACCTTTAGATTCCCTTTAGCCCCCACACATACCCAGTTGTTGTTTTTTTGCAGTTGTAGGTTCCTGTGACACACACACACACACACACACACACACACACACACACACACCCCTTTTCTTCCTCTCCTGTCACAGGACCTGGTGTTTCTTCTGTAGGGTCGTCCACAGCTGGCCCTGGCCTACTGCACTCCTTTCATGCTGTTTGGCACCTCTGGTCCTCTGAGTGTGCACGCTCAGGTTGGATCCAGAAGCTTTGTCAGATCAGACTCAGGTTCTTTGTCCGTGGTAACCCTACTGGGCAGGTGATGTGGTGGTTCTGGTTGTAGAGTGGACAAGCGCCTCCAAATCATTAACTCACACAGGCTGTAAGGCATGCTGTTCTCTTATTAGTAGCATAAAAAATATACAGAAAAACAACTAAACAAACAAAAACTTTGGTTATCTGGAGGAAAGAAGAAGAAATGCTAGATTTTTTCCTGTTATTTATCAGTTTTAAAAATGATGAATTGATTCCCTATAGTAAGGAAATTAAAGAAGTTTAAAAACATCATTATGGAATCATGGATTTCAGTGTAGTCTTGTGTTTCAGTCCTTTGCTGTTACAATTCCATGGTCCCTCAGATTTCCCATATCCTTTTCCAGATTGACAGTGTCCTCAGGTTGGCTACCCTTTTGACTCAACTGTAGGCATCCTTGCTGGCTCCGTTCTGTCTGTCACAGACACACATCTCCCATTCATCTGGAACATCTGTTCCAGATCTGGAACCAGCTGTTTTCAGAGCCCTTTTTCCTTCAGTATGAAATGATGGCAGAGATGGCGTGGACTCATTGCCACTGGGTTGTCACTGTTCCTAATCTTCCCCAGTGGACAGAGCTGTGAAACTGTGTGTAGAGAAAGAGTGACGGGAGGGAAGAAAGCAAATGATAAATGAAAAATGTTAACAATCTGAGTCCAGGTAAAGACGAAATGAGAATTCTTATGACATTTCAGTAAATTTGAAATTATATACAATGAAAAGCTAAATGTGTGCATGCATATATAAATGTATTTATTAAATTATTTGTGTTTTGATGATCTACAATTATATTTAAAAGAAAGTGTACAGAATATAATTCTGCTTGTGCCAGCAGTACATGAATGTGTGGGGTGGCAGATGTCTACATAGATTTAAATTTATTGAAATCATTAAATTTTTGTACTTATCAATGTTTTATCTTCTCATTCCAGGTGAATGAGAACTTTGCCATTGATTTGATAGCCGAGCAGCCCGTGAGTGAAGTGCAGAGTCGCATAGTGTCATGTGATGGCGGTGGGGGGGCTCTCGGTCACCCGAAAGTCTACATAAATTTGGTAATGTGATCCCAGTGCTCACCCATCTTTCTGTTTTGTCCTTTCCTTGCTCTCAGGGTGGCCCTTGCAGTGTTCCTTTGACCACATAATCTCCCACTTGATCTTGCCTACAAAGCCAACTGCAGGGCTGAATACAGTGGCATCTTTTCACCTGTGGCATGCTGTGCAGTGTACTTAGTGTTGCCAGCACTATCTCTCCGGCTTTCACCGTTTTTAAGCCCAAGTTTCTTGCTAAACACACAATTGGAGCCTAGAGAAGAGGATTAGTACTAAGGACAGTAGAGCCTATAAGGAAGCCACAGGCGAAAACCCAGATGTATAGGAAGGGGAAGGAAGCTGGCAGGACCTACTACTGCCCCTTTTGCTGGTGGTGTGGGTGAGCTTGGAACCCAGTCCTGTGGGGACCCACCTGCTCGAGTTAAGTTGTAGTCTGTGCTCCGGATGAGACCCTGGGCCTCCTACAGGGATTAAGCCAAGGGCAAGAAGCGGCTGTGCTGACACTTTATGCCCTGGAAGTGGTTCTCTGAGGTGACCCCAAGTTCCAGGGTAGGGCCTGAGGCTGCAGGAGGAGATAGAACTGGGCCGAGGCCCTGGGCACCGTCAGTTCCTAGCTCAGCTGTGACGGGTTTTATAAGTGTTTTGGGCTGACAATGTATTTAGGTTTTGTATGTACTTTCCATGTTTAGTCTCTATAGATTTGAAGTAGAATTTGGAAATGTGAAATCTTCCCTTTTGAATTATTTCAGGACAAAGAAACAAAAACTGGAACTTGCGGTTACTGTGGCCTCCAGTTCAAGCAGCACCATCACTAGAGCAGACCATGCCCCGGGTCCTGGGAGGCTATGTACGTGAGCATGTCAGTGTTATGTTCGCTAAAATAGGGAAGGTCCTCGTGCTGCCCTGGGGGGTGATCCTATTGTGAATAAACGGCATCGTTAAGGACTGCCTTCACAAGTGTGTTTCTTCCACCGAAGGGACTTTGGAAAATGGACGTTCCCTATAAGTATGGGCTGAGGGGTCCCTGCCAGGTGCTTCTAAGCACAGCCTCTGTGACCACATCAGGCAGTCAAGAGAAATGTAGACAACTCTCCTGTTATCTCTTCAGCTACAGTTTCAACTTCCTGTCATTTACAAAACCTGCAGCTGCTGTGATCACACACGGTGTCCCCAACCCACCAGTCCCCAACCCACAGATCTCTTCTTAGAAACTCTATGTCCAGACACAGTGTCTGAAATAAGTGACCTGGTAGCAGCTGCGCTCAGAGCCAGTGACTGTGGTTGGGTCCCACAGTTCAGTTGAGCCCTGAACTCCCCACTTTGAGCTTCTCTGTGCACAGGGCACAGGGTCCACAAAGATGCCATCCAGGTGAGGTAACCCTGGCTTCCCTGCACTGAGCATCACCAGTCCCAAGGCTGTTAGGAAGTCAAATGTACTTTCCCACAGAAACAGGGCTCTGTTTCTTAACACCCTCCCATCCCTTCCCACTTTGTACTTGGACAGTAGGAGCCCTCGTGGTTGGAGCAGAGGCCCCTGAGGTCAGGGAGCTGCCCATTTGATGTCACCAGCCACCCCACCTGACTTTTGTCCTGGATCTACCCTCACATCACAGAACAGCTCTCCCAGGTCACAGTCCACAGCTGCCAGCCCTCCACTATGGCTGTGTAGACAGTGATGAGAGACCCAGGAGTGAGGGCTAAGCCTCACCTAGGGCACTAATGTCATTGATGGGTTACAGGGCCCATGTTCAGTGCTGTCCTAAAAGACACCACAATGCCCAAGTGAGATGCCCTGAGCTCCCTCTTCTTTGCTCTGCCAGGTGTCCCACTGGACTAGACACATGGGTAAGGGGCTCTGAGTTATGACTTGGTGTGTATGCAATATGCAAAGTTGCCTGGTTTGATGGCAGAAGGCATTGAATGCATTGCTCTATTCCTTAGAGGTCGGTGATTTACAGCAGCTGTTTACTGGGCACTGCAGACACATGGTAGTTCAGAGAGCAACATGCTGTTTCCTGGGGCTGCCCTAACCAACCCTCACATGCCAGGTGCTTCACATGCAGAAATTGCTCTCATAGAGGCCAGAGCGCAGAAGGTGTCCCTACGGCCTCATGGCCTCGCTCCCTCTGAAGGCACTAAGGAAGAATCTTGCAGGCCTCTCCAGCTCCTGGTGGCTGCTATCTCCCCTGTGGACACATCTCTCCATCTTCACATGGCCTCTCCCTGTGTCTGCCCTCATGTGGCCTTTTTATAAGGACACTAGTCCTTGGATTTGGAGCACACCCTAACCCAGTATGACCTTATTACACCTGCAAAGACCTGATTTTCAAGTAAGGTATTCTGTGGTTCTGGGTGGACATGAGTTTAGGGGACACTCCCCTAGAAGGGGACAGGATGCATTCACCTCTCTGACTCATTCACACACTCACTACTCCCCTTTCACATTCCAAAGTAGGTGGAACAAAGGCCTGGATACAGTAGCTCCTGCTCACAAGGGTGGGGGAGGCTTGTTTGGGTGCTCAGCCAAGCAGCTCTGAGGACCTGGGCCAGCAACCTTTTTAGGTAGGTGATGTGGCCGGGTCTGGCACTAAGGTGGGGCGTCACTGTCCACCACTTCTCCTAGGACTCAGCAGAATGTGCACAATGGGGCAGCTTCCCTAGGTGAGGGAAAGATAATTAGGGAACCCCCCCCCCGCCCCCTTTATGAATCCTACACCCTCCTGAATAAACACAAAAACTCAAGTAATTTGAACAAGAAAGTGAAACAGTTATACCAACCCATTAATATTGAGACAAAAATGGAAGTAATTACTTCTGAAGCCAAATAGGAGCAAATGGAAAACTGTTAGAACAGGAGTATTCAAATGCAGTGTCTCATCAGCCAGACCAGATGCAGCAGAGGAGAGATGGAGGCCCTGCAGTGCATGGCCTGACTGCTCTGAGGCGGTCCCGATCCCAGCTCTAAGAACCACGCACCAATGCTCATGTAATCATGCAACCATAAGGGACAACTAGTGTCTGAGTCCAGCAAAGGGCTATGACCTCCCGACTGCACAGCAGGCACTTTGTGTCCATCCCATTGTCTGTCTCCTGAGATCCTGCCAGGCCATGTTATTTCCTGGTTTACAGTTGAGCAGACAGATGAGGGTTGGCCAGGTGCATCTCTGGGCACAGCCTTGTCCTGGAGGGATTGATAACCTCACAGACCCATGCCCCACCCACCCACTCACCATATGGACTGTTCTCTTGGGTTCACTGCAAACAAAGGTAAGAATTATAACCACTTGACTTTTATGAAGAGGAAATTTATTATTTGCATTAAAATGACCAGTTTTGTACAAGCAAGTTTGTGTGCTGTGCTAACGGGAGATGTCCCAGCTGTGAGGTCACATCAGGAAGCCTGCCTGTATTCAGCAGGCTCCACAGTGGAGGTTGGCCCCTCATTGCCTCCATCCCCTGTGCCTGGTGCCTGTGCCCCCAGCTTCTTCCAGGGAAGGATGCCTTTGCTGGGGCTGGACTTGGGGAAGCCCTGCCCGCCATGAATTCCACCACAGGTCCCAGAGAATCTTGCACAGAGATGTGGCCCTAACTCAAAGGCCTATTTTCCAATCACAGATGTCTACAAAAGTCAAGTGACACTTGAGATGAAGAGTGACTGCTGGAGGACCAGCTGCTTGTGGGCACAGCCTCATCACTGGGTTTTCAGCAGAAGCAGCAGTGCTGCAGATGTCCAGTGACAACTGTGTTTTAACAAACACACATAGAATGCACTATAATGTTCTTAACCCTATGGATCCTGCTGAAGGATCAGTTTTACAGCCAGTTCTTTTAGCAAAGTTCATCTCTGCCCACCTAATGTTCATTTTATGGTAGGAGAGTGGAGGACGTGATGACATTCAGGGGTGAACTAACGGGCCATGGAAGTCCAGATGCAGATGTTCTTGGTTTTCAGGCTTTGGGAAGTCAGGGGCCAGCCTAAAAAGGAGCAGTGTGCTCGTGGTCTTTTCCTGAAGCTGGGAAGCTGTCATTAGAGATTGGTGGTGTCTGGGGGAACTTCTGTGGGAAAAACAGAAGTCACAGTTCAGAACAAAAGTTCTGGTCAGGGCATCTGGCCCCTTCTCTGGTATCGCTTGCAGCAGCAGACGGGGAGCAGGGCAGAGCCCTCGGGATCCTGCACACCTCAGTCTGGTTCCCCAGGGCTCCAGGTCTTGAGTGCCTGGACTACAGCCATCACCTTGGAGTCTTCATCAGATCTGCCAGGAAGGCCCGCTTCCATCTTAGAATCTGTCTGGGTATCATACTATGTCTCAGGTCTCCTTAGGGCACTGAATGTGGACATCGATAAGCCTGTAAGTGGACAGGGTGCAGAGGCTGCCCTATGAGATGTGAGAGAGGACAGGAGCGAGCTGGTATGCAGGGGGAAGGCTGTCCTGTGAGGTCACACCTGTCCCTGTCAGGGCCCCTCCAACTGGTGGGGTACAAGGGGCATCAGCTCTGAAACCTCCCTAGAGTCCAGAAGAGGGACAAAGGCCACTTCAAAGTTGTTTCAGGGACAGATCAAAGGCGTCAGTGAGGGGAGGGAAGGCTCCTTTGAAGAGGATTCTTCGATGTCAGTGAGGTGGTTGGTCACAGGACCGAGAAGGACTAAGGGAACTGGATCTTGAGGCCCCTGCTCCATGGCCAACCCTGGAGGGGCAGGCAGTGAGGACATAGGATCTGTAGGCTTGATTCCCATCCCAGACATTTCTTTGCTTGAGGTGGGCATGTGAAACCCCCTCAGAGCACCCTGATGGCATGGCTGGGCCTACCCCTGCATGGCCTCACCCCTCCTTTCATTGCCTCATGGAGTTCCTGCTTCTTCATGTCCATGTTTTATGATCCAGAAGTTAGAAGACAGGAAAAAAACATTTCCTTGGACCTTGTAAATGGAGAGACTCTAATTCCAGACTTTTACTTGGATCCACATTGTGCAGCCCTTTGGCTTTTTATCTTGAGAGCCTGTAATACCGGAAAAATTCTGACTTCATTGTAGTAACTTAATAGGCATGAAGAACAATTATGGTTTGACACTGTAGAGGATGCAGAGAACCTGGGAGCTGCCAGGGTTCGATCTTGCATAGACAGCGCAGTGCTGCATGTGTTCACAGCTCTGCACCTGCTCTTACAGCCCAGCCCACCTGGAAGGAAAGGGGACCATGCCTTTCCTGGGCTTCGCTCTGGGGGAAAGCCTCCTTGGTCCTGGAGCTGGAATGATTCTTTGAGGATAGATTAGAGGGAATCTTATCACGTCAGGTGAGATGCACAAGTAGCTCAGGTGAGGCACCTGGCAGTAGATAGGGCTGCATACCCTGTCTCAGGCCCCAGATGTGCCCTGTCCCACCACCAGCCAGAGACGGTCTCTATAACAGGAAGTGCCATGTAAACTGATCCTTTCCTGAAAGGCAAGTGGACACTGGCTCTGTGTCCCAGGCCTGTGGGTCCCAGCGTGGGCACTGTCAGCCCCTCCCCGATGTCGTGGGCCCTGACCTGCCCACCAGAGGGCAGTGGTGCATAACTGTGTCCATCCACTGGGTCCCCATGAGTTGTCCGAGGGCGGTGGCCGCCCTTTGAGTGGCTGACATTCTGATGCATTTATGGCAGGGAGGCCACAACCATGTGGAAATGGTGCTGCCTCTCAAACCTGCTTCAGAAAAGGGAGAGTTGCTTGGGAGGCTGGAATCATAGCTCCATTGCATGAAGAGGACAAGGGGGCCACTGTGGAAGGCTGGTCCAGGTCTGGAGCCCCTAGAGCCCATTCTCCAAGTGTCCTCTCAAA